AATTAATTTATGTATTAAATATATACATTATGTGTTAAATGTATTAATCATGTGCTAAATATATATACATTGTCTGTTAAATATACATTATGTGTTAAATTTTTATCGTTTTTTATCTCTTCGTCGAATTACATCGCGCGCAAGAATCATGCAATGGGACGGAGATACCGCGGGAGAGAGGGAGAAAGAAAATTGCAACGGAGCAAGCGCTGGAACCCCCTTTCGCGACCCCGCGTCTAGTTATACCTATGTGTTATCATTTACCGTTGTATGGAGATGTGACAATGTTAATATGTTGTGGTAAGTATCTAGATGCTATGTCCTTACAACATTATTGCGACATGGATATGTAGTGGTAAGTATAACATGTACTTAAATACTTGCACATTGAGATGTAGAAGTAATTATAACATGTGTCTGAATGCCAGCGCATTTGATTTTTATCTTTGTCGAGTACGAAAATCTCGGGCTGTATGCTTAGTTTTAGTGTCAGTCCATCATGTTCCATTCATTCAGACGAAACCCTGCTTTTTGCATGCCATCGTTGGCAAAATTATTAAGTTCTCGCGATATTGGCAATAAAACTTTATTAAAAGTCCACAACAATTTTGACGAACATTTATTGTTTTGTTTTGTACATCAGACTGCAAAATCACATTGCGTTTTTAATATGAAAATTTGGAAGTGTTTTATGATAGACAGTGACGAGAGGGATAATGCATGGATGGCAGGTCTACCTCAGAGGGTGGCGGCTGAGGATCGTCGGCAATTCCTGGTAAGTACAAAGCAATTACTCTCAGATAACATCGATGTTTTTGCTATCTGATAAAGACGATGTTTTTTTCAGAATGATCTCAATAGCGACGATGATGATGACGACAACGACGACGACAACGACGATGGCAACGAAGCGAGGGCGAGGATGCCTCCGTGTGTGGCGGTAAACCCACAGTTTGAGGTGCCTTGGGACGCGAGGACGCCTTCGCGAAGTCCGCGGGAGGATGCAAACCCGCGGGAGGGCCCACGGGAGAGCCCGCGTGAGACGTCGGGGGACAGCAGCGCGAGGAGCTCGCAAGAGAGCTCGCGGGAGGAGGCGAGCTTGCGAGAGAAAGCAGTTGCCTACGACAACTAGGGTAAGTATTTTTTACATAGCTATCCCTCTTTCTTTCTTCTTTTACACATTTTTGTAAATATACGTCTCCTTTGTCTGTTGCAGACGGCAACGGATTGCAGCGTATTTGCGTCGGACTAATTAAATAAATTTAAATCATATTTTATATATTTTTACATTAACTAAATATTAAAATAAAAATTTTTTCATATTTTAATTTTATTCTATTTTTTTCTCCTCTTCCTCTTCGCAAACGTGCGGGTGGGTCCGCGAGCGATAAGCGTGGAGTGGGGCCCATGCGCAACGGTGGCGGCGGCGGCGGCGGCGGCGAACGCGGTGGCGAACGCGAGCGCGGTTTCCCTTTCCCCGCGATATCCGCATCTCCGACGCGGTTCCCTCTTCCCCGCGCATCCCGCACCTACAACGCGGTTCCCTCTTCCCCGCGAATCCCGCAA